GTGTAGTCGCTGGGTGTAGACACCTTCTGCTTTTTCATCTGCACTTGCGATTGAGCGGTGAGCTGCAGCTTGATGGCACTCGAGTTGATCTTGGTGGCTACCAGCAGCTCCTTCATGCCCTTCATTTTCTCACTCTGGAAAGTGAGAACCGGACCCTCTGGTGGCGGCGACGCGGCGGGCGCTGGTGCTGGTGCTGGAGCCCCACTGCCACCTTCAGGGCCACGAGCAGTGCTCGGGACAGTCCCTGGGGACTTCCGAGGGGGTGCTGGCACCGCGCTCTGACCCACGCCTGGACCCTTGTCCAGAGCTGGCTTCTTGGGAGGCGGCGGCTCCTCGGGCTTGGACTCCCGCCGAGGGCCCCGTCGCCGGCCCTCCCGGGCTTCCTCGCCCCACGGCTCCTCCGCTTCCGCAGCCTCGGACTCACGGCTCACTATGCGCACCTTTTGCCGCACCTGGGCAGGATGGAGAGAGCAAACCGAGGGAAAGGCTGCAAGCCAGTGGCTGGATGCCCAGGACCCAGCCTCCGCCATCCTGTTCCCAGGCCTGTCTCATATGCACGCAGATGGGATAAGTAGATTCCCTTCAGGGCCACAAAGGCTCTGGCTCCTCTGTAGCTGCTGTCACCACCACTTGTCCTCCCCACTGCCCCTGTGCAGCTGCCCCTCACCTGTCCTTCGAAACGGCCTAGGGACTGCACGAGGAAGGTGGCCCAGCCCACGTGCAGCACCGGCGTGGGGCTGCCCTCTTCCCATTTGCAGATGCCATCGTAGAACCGCAGCAGGTGAGCAAAGCACTCTGGGTCCTGCAGGGCAGACCCCTGGCTCTGGGAGCCCTGCGCAAGGGGGAAAGGAGGGCACAGGTCAGGCCCCTCTTCTAGGCAGAGCCCTGGTTCCAGAAGAGATGAGCGCAGCGGGGAGGGCAGAACTCTGAGGACCTCTTTCCTTTTATAAACCCAGTCGTGAGCCAGGACCTGGACATAGAGGGAACCATCGCTACCTCCGTCCCGCCCCCCACAACTGAAGGAGAAGCCTTGGCCATGAGAGAGATGGGCTTCCACCCTATTTGCCGGAAGGCACAGGGTAGAAATCTCTAATATACCCTCAGCTCCCTCAAACCCAGAGCCAAGACCTCAGCTACTGTCAGAGAACAGAGCTCTCCACACTGGGCCACCTTCCACCTGTCCCCAAGTTCTGTAACTGGGAGCCCTGATCAGGTGGGAAGGTGGACACCAGTGGCACCCCAGCTCACCTGGGTCTGCTCCCCTGGCCGCTCCTCACCAGCCTCCAGCAGGCTGGCCGCCTCCTTCAGCAGGTTGGGGATGACGTCATTGGCTACTTCAAAGAATTCCTTGTAGATCTCCTCATCCTCTCGGCAGTAGTTGTAGCTATGAGAGCAGAAGAGCATGGTGGGGCCATAGCCTTGGCGGGTGCCCCCAGGGACCTGCTGGGGGATGGAACCCAGGTTTCCTTTCCTGGGTCATCCAGGGACTGAGTGAGTGGTTGGGGTCCTCGCTCTGAAATGGTGTCTGTTAGTCGAGAGCAAGAGTGGGGAGGGGGCCGTGGGGCTAGGAGTGGAGGCTCCACTGACAGACGATGATGGTTGGAAATTAAGAGGGGAGGGGAGAGAAGGAAAGGCGAGAGGCCCTCGTCAGGGGACGCTACCTCCTGGTAGATGGTGGCCCTGACTGCCTAGGGGCTAGAAGAAGGGATGGGGCTTGGGACCCAGGCCTCACTCCTAGATGAAGACGGTTAGAAATTGAGTGAAAGGGGAAGAAAGGGTGGGCTGAAGCCCTAGCGAGGGGATCCTCACTCCTGGATGACAGTGGCAGTGTCGGCCCAGGCCTGTAGGGCTTCGCGCACATTGCGGTTGCGACAATGGTAGCCGGCCAGGTACATGTAGGGGTAGATGTGCTCATCCCGGTAGTAGGTCTTGGCTGAAGCAATGCCCTGGGAACAGAACAGAGGGGCCTCAGGGAGGCAGCCCCCAGCTGTACCAGATGGCACAAACGTCCCATCGGATCACACCCAGAAAGGCTGCTAGGCAAGATCCCAGAGAGTATCATCTCCAATCCTACCTCCAGCCCCTGCCCTCTCTACCAGGTGCTTCTCCCTGAGTCTGCAGGGCTGCTTGCCGAGGCCTGGACCAGAATGCAGGGAGTGGGGACCCCCACAGAAAAAGGCCTAAAGAAGGAAAGGGGCCCATCCTCCAAGCTCAAGGCACATCCCTTTCCCAGGCACTCCCACACACTCCTAAACACTAAAGCCTTCCAAGCCCAGCCCGATGTCCCTTCTGCCCCACCCCCCACCCCACCAATTAACATCCCCTCCTCAGTGCCCCTACATCTGACCTCTGTCATACTCTAGGAAGGACAGTGAGAGGCAGCAGAGAAAGCAAGGCTGAGGGGATCAATCCAAGTCCTGACACTCCCAGAGCACCCCTCAGCCCTGACTGCACTGAATATGCACGTGGTAAATACGAAGTGGGTGACAACCCCCAAAACACACAGAGCTCTTCTCTTTCCTACCCCCTCATAGTCCCCATGTAGAAGGGAACCCCAGCCACTGTTGGGTCTCCCTTCTGTACCCTCTTGAGATATCCCCACCTTGTGGTAGAGGGTGAGTGGGTCTGGCCGGCCGGGGGTGGGCTCCAGCTCCTCCAGGTCTGCTAGGTTCCCCAGCGCCATGGGGTACCTGGAAAAGGGTCATGAGTCCAGGCTGCAACCCAGCCCTCTGGCCCCGAGGCCAAGCCTGGCTACTTCCCCCTACTGACCTTTCCAGATGTCCCAGGTCGTAGAGCAGCCAGAGCAGCTTCTAGGGGCCAAAGAGAGAGGTGTGAGCTGTGGGGAGGGGTGGGGGAGTCCTCAGTCTACCAAGCAGAGGTGAGGTCCAGCTCCAGGAGGGACCTCCCAGAAGGTGGGAAGAGCCAGAATTCAGGAAGCAGTCCCTTACTGGAGTCAAAGCCCTTTCATGTCTCAATTCCACTCTCCCAAGAGCCCTGGAAAAGGAACTGTTAGCCATGTTGCAGAAGGGGAAGCCAAAGCTCAGGGAGGGAAAGCGGCCCCCTGCCCGGGGCCCCACGGGCGCACCTCACCTGCTGCAGCTGCAGCAGTTCCAGGGAGTCGGTGTGCAGGTCGATGGAAGGGTTGATGGCACACACCATAAATGCCACTTCCATCTTTCGGTCACAGCGCATGTATGATCCTTTCAAGTACAGCCAGCTCTTGGGAGAGGACAAGACCAGATGTCTCATGATGGCCCACCTGTGCCTGCTCCAGGGAATGACAGCTAGGAAAGGGGCCCTTCTTTCTTCCCTCCCTGACATATATAGGTGGTGATGGGAAGAGGGGGGGTGTGGCACAGGAAAGCATAGCCCCTTGGGTGGCTTGGGCTAGGAGTGTGAAGGGGGCAGGTGAAGGGGAGGCAATACCCGTTCGGCCACACCCGCGTTGACTGTCTGGCCCCTGCGGTCCTCATTGCCCTTGCCATGCCAGGTGACCTCAGCTGTCTGTTCTCCATTGGGCCCAAACACCACCCAGGCATGATCCTCAGACAGAGCCAGGTGGACATCCCGGAGACCCAGAGCCTGGCAGGCCCCCACCACAGCAAAGGCCACACCAGAGCTGTCCAGTTTGGTGCCTGTAAAAAGGGGAGGTAATGAAATAGGGTCCTTTGGGCTCTGACCTGAAGGAAGGGGGTTAGGCAGTAAGGGGCCACGTTTCCCCCCCACCCTCACCTCCAAGCCTGCACCCAAACCTCAGACGCTCCTCCGTCACCTCTTTTTTCCCTTCTCCTGTGTCCAAAGCCCCTCCCTCCCTCTTTACAACCCCCGTCCTCAACAGGAGACCTTGGATCTCCCATAGCTCCACCCAGTCTTTGAACCTGTCCCTTCTCTTTCTCGGAAAACATGTTTCTACTAATTTAAGAATTTCCTCATTTTATTGTGCCTAGCAGATTATAACAGAGCTGGCAAAAATAGGACCCCCGGCCAACACTCTTTTTTTCACACACCCACTGGCAAATACTCCCAATTTGTCTCTGTACTCTTTTCCTGCTAAGCTCAGAAGCAGCCTGTTTCCTTCTCAATATGGCACTACAGGACGTGATTGCCAGTCAACTGTATTTGGAGCAAAGAAAGAGCTTTGCAAGCCCTGAGTCTTAAGTCTTCACCAGAGGTGAAGCCCTGGTCTATTTACATTCAAAACAATTTCACAGATATTTAATTGTCTCACATGTAGCCCAGTTATGGCTCCTCCCTCCCCCGCCTCCCCAATCTGCTGGGCCCCTCTGTGCCTCATGCTGGGCTGCAGAACTCCTGTAGCTGCTCAATGGGAGGGATGGGAGCTGCTGAGGGGGCAGAGGATAGATGGTGGATTTGGAGTCAAGTGATTGGGGTCCGGTCCCAGCCCTGCCATTCTGTGGCACATCGCTACCCCTCTCTAGGCTTGTTTCCCTAACTGCAAAGGGGGTATTAACACCCGCCCCACCTCTCAAGAATTACAGGTCTCAAAAGGGCTCTGTAAACCATCCAGTGATGTGAAGAGGTGGGCCAGGGTTCTCAGGTGGGACAAGATTCTTGCCCCTTGCCACCTGTGGGGCTCCAACCTGTGATGAAGCTGAAGAGGGATTGGATGTGAGCCCGATCCTTGAAGTAGGAGCGGCTGAGGCTGTTCCAGATGACATCGGAGACTTTCTTCACCAGCTCCCGGCTGGAGACGCCCCCTTCTCGAGGGTACAGAGACAGGTCGACGGCACCTCGGATCTGGGCGGTGAAGCGGGCATAGAGCGCAGCGATGATGGATAGGTCGGCAACCGGGAAGTAGGTGAGGCCGCCAGGAGGGTCGGGCGCAGGGCTGGGCTGGAAGGTGAGCTCTGGCACATTGGTGGGGATGACGCGGTTGACAGCTAGGAAATGCTCCACAAAGCCTAGTACCAAGGATAGGAGCACCAGGTCCGGCTCTTCTCGGCCCAGCTCGGCTGCGAACAGGCGCACCACGTCGTCAATGGAGCGCAGCGGGAATAGTGTCTTCTGGGCGGCCTTCAGCCCCATGGCGGCGGGCCTCGGCCTGCAGGCGAGCCGGGGGAAGGAGGGTCGGGTGGGCATGGCCCGGGAGACCCCTCCCAAGCTCGGCTAAGGTTCCATCTCCCAACTCACACAATCCCTTGCTTCCCCACCCCCTTCACTCTCCATTCATCTGCTCCCCCTCCTGACTCGATGAGACGCCCTCAGCCGAGGCTGTGGGGCCTCCTCGTCCCCAACAACCCCGGGAGCCCCGGCTTGGATGGGGGTGCGCCCCTAGAACCCTGCTGAGGACCCCCAATGGCCGCCCCGCCCCTTCTCTACGACCGTACCCCCGGACTCCTAGAGTACGTCCGGAAGGCGCTCCCAAACCAAACCCCCAAATCCCAAGAAGAGTCCTGGCCTTAGTCCCCCGCGCCCACCTCCGCGCTTACATCCCACACAAGGCACCGCGGCGCCAGCCGCCTGGAGCCTACTGGGAAATGGAGTCCCGCCCCCCTCGGGCCGCACTGCCTGCCGGGAAGTGAAGTCCTGGGCCGTCTCCTGCTCCTGCCGGAGCCTTGAAATGGTGGCCGGCCGGGTCAGTACGCGATGGCTTATGGGAGTGGTAGTCCGCTGCTCGGGGCGCCCCAGAGGTAGGTGAGGAGTGGAGGTAGCGCCACCTTTCTGAGGCCCTCAGGGATTGGTCGTTCCATATTACGCAGACAAGGTAGCAAAGGGACCGCAGTGCCTTCTGGGATTTGTAGTCTCGAATGTGACCCGGCCCTCCCGGGCGGTCCCTGAGTTTCTGTAGGTTATCACGTGTCGGCTAGACGTGAGGAAAATGGGTATTTTCAGACATTGCTGGAGTGTAATGTGTTCAGCCACTTTAGTTAGATGTTTATCAGTATCTATTACCACGTAAAAGTTCTAACTCTGTGTCTAGCGATTCTTTCCCAATTCTCATGTGAAAGTTTAATATGTGCAAAGAATAGAATCTAAAGAATCACTAGTTATTTGTAAAAGAAGAATGAAATAGCTCTATGTGTCCTGAAATGGATCTTCAGGACACATTATTGAATGAAAAAAAAAAAAAAAGCTGCAGAACAATATGTATGGTAGGATAGTATTTATATTAACATTTTAAAACTTCAAAATAATACTAAATAATTTCTACAGTCATTCGTTCACTCCCCTACTCATTCAACAAACAGAGTTTTGGTGTCTACAAAAGAGCCAAGCACTCAATTCTAGGCATTGAATGGATACATAGCAATGAATTAATCATCAAATTTCTGTCCTTCGCCTCTGTGGGTTTTCATCTTCAAAATCCATAAGCCTAGTCTAATCATGAGAAAACATCTGGCAAACCCAAACTAAGGGACATTTAACAAAACACCTGACCAGCAAGCACTCCTCAAAAATGTCAATGTCATGAAAGACATGGAAAGGCTGAGAAACTTGCGCATTAGAAAACACTAAGGAGAGAGGACAGCTAAATGCAATGTGGCATTCTGGATTAAATCCTGGAACGGAAAAAGAACATTAATGGAAAATCTGATGAATAGGGTGGCTGACTGTCCCAGTGTGCCCAGGACTGAGGGGACTTCAGGGGTATGGGACTTTTAAAACCAAACCAGTCAAACTCGAGCACCTCAGAGCTCTACTTGTAAAATTCAAATAAAATGTGTAGCTTCATTCATAGTTTTCATCAATTAGTTTTGATAAATAGACCATGATTAACATTAGGGGAAGCTGGATAAAGGGTATATGGAGATGAGATCACCAAGGACTGAGTTCTGGGTTCTCCATGTAGAAGTTGGAAGACCAAGAGGAACCCTTAAGGCGTCTGAGAGGGATCCGCCAAAGAGATGAGAGGAAAACCAGATGAGCATTTGGTGCAGAAGACCATGCACTGAGGCAGAGGTATGATTAATAGTGTCAGACGCTACTCACAGGTCAGCAAGCTGAGCAACAAGGACTGACTTGATTTAGTTTGGTAGGAGTCCCCGGTGGCCCCATTAAGAGCTGTTTGGGAGAAAAAGCCCGAAGTTCTGGGCTCAAGAAAAATAGGAGGAAAGAAACTGGAGACCATGATAATATATGGCTCTTTCAGGGAGCTTTGCAGCAAAGGGAAGGAGGAAAATAAGATAGCAGCTGGGACCAGGGGCATGGAGAGTGTCTAAGAAGATTGTTGTTGCTGTTGTTTAATAGGAGATCCTTGGAGGACTGATGGCCTTGAACGGGTGGAGGAAATGGGAGTTCCTGAGTGACAAGTTTGGTATTTGCTCGAAGCACAAAGAGTTTATCCGCAATAATTGGAGAGAAGGCAGAGGACACAGGCACATGTGGTGGGTCCTTTAATTTTCTCAATGAAATAGGAAGCCTAGTTGGTCTCTCTCCCTCCCTTCTTCACGCTTGCTCAAATGTCCCCTTCTCAATGAGGCTGACCCAGCCTTGACCAAGTCCCTCCACCCAGCTCTACTATGTTAATTTTTCTAAAGCATTAACACCTTCTCAATGGAGGCACTACTGACTTTCGGGGCCAGATAATTCTTTGTATGTGGGGGCTGTCCTGTGCATTGTAGAATGTTTAGAAGCATCCCTGGCTTCTACCAACTAGATGCCAGCACCCCTCCGCCCACTGTGACAACTAGAAATGTCTCTGGACATTGCCAAATGTCCCCCGGGGACGTTTGCCTCCAGTTGAGAACCACTACTCTAGCATATAATTTATTTCTTTGTTTATTGTTTGTCTCCTACCACCAAAATATAAGCTCCTCAAGAACAAAGAATGTGTTTTGTTCACTGATGTGTCTCATGTGCCTAGAATAGTGTCTGACACATAACTGGTGTTCAACAAATATTTGTGGAATAAATAAATACGTTCATGCAAAAAAATGACTATAGTGATTGACCTGGAATTTAGTCTGTACATAAGGACACAAGAGGAATGAGGGACAGCAAAAGGGTGGCAAAATCAATGGATTGTAAGTTCCAACGGGGTCAAAATTTTATTGGAGTTGGGGTGCTAGAGAGCTGGAAAAATGGAGGTATTGGTTGGAGAGTGGGGTGCTTGAGATTGAGATTATGAGGAGAGGGTTGTTGTTATTAGCAATGAAAAGACCCAAAGCCATGCTTCCAGTAGAAACATAACACAAGGTGCATGTGTAATTTAAAAATTTCTAGTAGCTATGTTTTAAAAGAGTAGAAAGATATAAGCGAGGCAAAATGTAATAACATATCCAAAATGGTGTTTCAACTTGTAATCAGTATAAAAATTATTGATAATTTATATATTTTTTCCTCAATCTTTGAAATCTGGTACTTGTTCTAAACTCACAGCACATCTCAGACTAGTCTTATTTCAAGTGCTCAGTCGCCACATGTGACCAGTGGCTCCCGCTAGGATGGTGCGGCTCTCCCATAGGGCTGTGGGAGTGAGTGGCTGGGGTGGGCCAGAAAACAAGATCACGGGAGAAGAAGACTCCAAGGAACTGAGAGGCCTGGCAGTTGAATCATCCGTAGGCATATCAAAGTCTTTAAGAATTAAAGCAGGAGTAGGACGGGGAGAGTGACGGCAAGCCGGGAGCTAAAATTATCCATGGGTTGGGAGATGTCAGAAACAAAGTGTGTAGTATAAGCTGATAACTTGAGTTTGAACCTGAGTGTTTGAAAGGAGGAGGGAGGAGGACACCTGTAAGTGGCAGTGAGGATTCAAGAGGATGCCTACCCCACCTCCAGGCCCAGTTGCAGGAGGGGTGTGGAAAGTCTGTGGGACATGAACGGGGAGCAGTAGTGACCTCAGGGAGGTTGAGGTTTCTGCCAGAGCAGGAGGGTTAAAGGCCGTTTGCAAAAGGGGATGAGGACACAGGGGATTTTGCTAAAGATAGACCAACAACTCTAGAGGGGACAGGGGACAGCTGTCAGGGGCCAAGGGTGGAGATGGGTCAGAAAAAGGGGTGGCCAGAGCTATGGAGAACCTATTACGCCTGAGTCCCTGGTGATGAAACTCACCACAGGGATAAAGGCAGGGCCTGTTCCGATGGTCTTGACGCAAGGGTGGGCTGGGGGGCGGCTGTAGGTGTGAGGACACCGGGGGCAGGGGTTCCTGCCAAGGTACGAAGGGTCCTGAGACTCTGACTTGAATCCTGTTGATGGAGGCAAAGAGGTGGGGAGAGGTCTGTCCGCTAATATCTATGTATGGGCCAATATGGAGCACATTAACCATAGACTGACCATACGGGGGAGCAGAGAGAGTCAAGAGGAATTCAGCCTCTGTTTACAAAAAAAAATTGTGTATTATTGTTATTAATTTTAAATAGTTTCAGATATGTAATATTCTTTTTTTAAAATTTATTTTAATTAGTTTCAAGTATATTTGGTTAGACAACTATATAATTCATAAAATGATTCCCTTAATTGCTCTCTCCCTCCCCTGGCCCTCCACCTAGCCAACATATTAATGTTAACTGCATTCCCTATACCGTGATCCCCATCCCCGTGGCCATCCAACAGCTACTAATTTCTACTTCTTTAACCCTTCGCCCCAGCCTCCCAACCCCTCTCCCCTCTGTCTACCACCAAATTGTCCACTATATTTGTGAGTCTGTTTTTGATTAGTTTGTTCTTTTTATTCCTTACATTCTGTATATAAGTGAAACCATATAGCATTTATCTTTCTCTGTCTGACTTAAATACCTTCTAGGTCCATCAAATCAATATCTTTGTCCATCCCCTTCCTTTTAGTCTCTGTGCGTCTTTTAATCTGAAATGAGTCTCTTATAGGCAACATGTAGGGGTCTTGTTTTCTTATCCATTCATCCACTCTGTCTTTTAATTGGAGCATTTAATTCTTTTCCATTTGAGGTACTTTTTGATAGAAATGTAGTTGTTACCATTCTTTATCCCTATTTTTGATACAGGTGTTTTCTTCTTAAAGAAGTCTCTCCAACATTTCCTGTAATACTGGCTTGGTGGTGATAAATTCCTTTAGTTTATTTTTGTCTGGGAAGCTCTTTATCTGTCCTTCAACTTTAAACGATAGCTTTTCTGGATAAAGTATCCTTGGTTGCAGATCCTGGGTCTTCATCCTGTCAAATATTTTGTGCCAAGCAATTCTGTCCTGCATGGTTTCTTTTGAGAAATCAGCTGCCAGTCTCATGGGTGTTCTTTTTTAAGTAACTATCTGCTTTTCTCTTGCTGCTTTTAATATTCTTTCTTTGTATTTAACCTTTGGCATTTTAGTTATGATGCATCTTGGTGTGGGCCTCTTCAGATCCCTGTTTTTTGGGATTCTCTGAGCTTCCTGGGGTTTTATTCCATTTCCTTCACCAGATTAGGGAAGTTTTCCATCATTATTTCTTCAAACGGCTGTTCAACATCTTGTTTTCCTTCAGTCACGCTGATCAGATGTATATTTTTACCCTTAATAGTGTCCCATATGTTCCTTAAATTAGTTTTATAGTCTGGCATCTTATCTCTTGCCATTCTGATTGAGTGTCCTTGGCTTTCCCGTCCTCTAGATAGGGCATTTGATCCTTTTCTTTATTCACTTTGTTTATTCCTTTGTTTATTCCATTTAATATACTTCTCATCTCAGATAATGTGTTCTTCATTTCACACTGGTTCCCTTTTACAATTTCCATTTCCATTTTTATGTTTTTTTATCTCTTTGTTGAAGTTCTTACTAAATTTATCTACACTTCCCAAAAGTTCATTGAGGATCTTTAAAACCAGTGTTTTGAACTCTGCATCTGGTAGATTACTTGGCTCCATTATATCTGGATCTCTGTTCTGTTCTTTCATATGGTTTCTGCTTCTTTGTCTTCCCATTTTAGCTGCCTTTCTATGTCTGTTTCTATGTACTAAGCAAAGCTCCTAAGTCTCCTGGTCTTATTAGTGTGGACTTGTAAAGTAGGTGTCCAGTGGCATAGTCTTGTGAGGGGTTCAGCTACAGGCCAAACTTAGCCCAAGCCTGTGTCCTTCCAGGGCCACCTGCTAAGGTTCAGCAAGCAATCCACAGATGCTGTGCTTATAGTTGCCTCCAAAGGCCACACCAAAAACTGAGGCCAGGTGCTCCAATGTGAGCCTAGGCACTACTCAGCAAGGAGCACGTGACTTGCTGAGGATACACCTGGATGTAGCTTCGGTGGCGCCACGAGTTGGGGGAAGCAGAGTTTCAGGGAATCTCCAGGCAGAGCGACCTATATACAGTTTGATGATGTCATGGCTATGGCGGCGCAGTGTCCATGCCCTTGGAGTGGGGAGCCTCAACAGGGAACAATGGATACCTGGGGCACTTCTGTACTGAGCAAGTCTCGCCTCGGCCCTCACTCCAACAATGTCTCCCTGTACATCCCTGGTGATCCCTGCATGCAGCCGAATGGCCACAGGTGCTCAAAGCGAGCAGGTCCATCACTGCGGAAATTCACTCGCGGATGCAGCCCCTTTAAGAGGCGTCTGCCGCTGCTGCAGCCTCCGTCTCACTCAGCCACTCGGGATCAGGCTGCCCAGTGTCCTCGACCCGTCCTACCTTCTGCCGTTGCAGGGTGCTTTCTTGGATTTCCCCCTAATTGTATGGCTTGTTCATCTAGATCTCAGGTGATTTTTCCTTGCTGCTTGCTCCTTGTTTCCATCACAACTTTGATTGGGTCGCCAGAGGGATGAACAGAGCCTCTATCATCTATCCCATTTCCCCCCTGCCCCGCCGTAATATTTATTTTTTAACTTTTTTTCCCCTTCTTTAATTCCCCCCACCCACACACTTCCACCCCTGATCTATGGATGTTGCTGTCTCCCTTTTAACAACTGGATCTCTGAAGGCGGGACGTCTCCTCCTACACACTTGTGGCGGGCACCTAGGGCCTGGTGCACCTGGGGTATGGTCCGTGGCTTCACTGGGGCGCGAACCCAGGACCCTCTGCATGTAAAGCAGACGTTCTAACCGCTACTCTGTGGAACCACCCCAGCCCCCTGGTAATATTCTTGCCAAAAAAAACAAAAGTTAAATCTGAATTTAATGAGGAAACAAACAGACAAATGCAAATATCAGGTCATTCTACAAAAGAACTGGCCCGGACCCTTCAAAAATATTAACATCATGAAAGACAACAAAATGGGTGCGCGTGTGTGCGTGTGTGTGTGTGTGTGCACGCGCGCGCGCGTTGGGGGAGAATTGTTCCAAATTAGAAACTAAAGAGACAAGGCACCAAATGTAATATGTGATCCAGAGGCGGATACTCAACCTTTAACAAATTCTGTAAAGAACATTTTTGACACAGTTGCACTACAAACTGGGGGCCTTAAGAATATATTGTCTCACAGCTCTGGAGGCTGGAAGTCTGAGATCGAGGTGTCGGCAGGGCTGGTTCCGCCTGAGGCCGTGAGGAAGAACCTCTTCCAGGCCTCTCCCCCAGCTTCTGGTGGTTTGCTGGTCATCTCTGGCATTCCTTAGCTTCTAGACACATGACCGTGATCTCCGCCTTCATATTTACATGGAGTTCTCCCTGTGCGTGTGTCTCAATTTCCCTTTTTAAAGGACACCAGCCGGACTGGATTAGGGCGCACCCCAATGACCTAACGTTAGTTACATCTGCAACGACTCTATTTCCAAATAAGGTCACGTACTGCGATATGTGGGGTTAGGATTTCAAGATATGATTTTGGGGGGATCGCAATTAAACCCATAACAGACTGTATATTAGACGATATTGTATCGATGATAAATCTCTCGAGACGGTAACAAGTTGTCCTCTGGTGGCTCCTTATTAAGAGATGCCTGTGAAATATTAGGTACAAAATTCAAGATGTCTGCAACTTATTTGCAAAAGGTAGCAGAATCCATGTTATGCATATGTAGGTATGGATGGATATGGATGTAAAGCAAAAGCTGCACACGTTGACAATGGGCGAATCTAGGTGAAGAGTACAGGAAGTTCATATTCTTTTGATCTTTCTGTAGGTTCAAGATTTGTCAACATAAAATGTTGGGAGAAAGTCGATTCTTAAAAAATGTAAATTATTGCTGGGTGCTGCGGAAGCTTTTCTCCAGTTCGGTGAGGGTAACTGGAGGTCTGTTTGCAAGAGGTCTCAGCATCCCTAGACCTCTGCTCTGAGCTTCTGCACTGCAAGAGGCAGAGCAAACATTTCTCGAGGGGGTCGAAGGCGTTTACACTCGTTATCTCACTAAATCTCACCAGAACCACCCACAAGATGGGTTTTATGATCCCCACTTACCAAAGGGGAAACTGAGGCTTAGAGAGATCAGGTAACTTGCCCATAACTGCACAGCTAGACTAGAATCCAGGTGTGATTCTCAAGATTGGGTCCTAACCAGGCCCTGACATCCCATGGGCACCCTCCAACCCCCATCCCCAACCAGATGGCGCCTAGGCCCTCGGTAGTTCTAGCAGTAGAGCCAGGCACGAGCCTCAAGGCATAGTCATCGGTCTCCCAGGCCTGCCTTGATCCCAGAGCACAGACCTTAACCCCCCTCTTCATCCAGCTCTGCCGTGACCTGGGTCCTGCCCCATCACAGGACAGCCAGTTAAGAACAGGAGACCCCTCCTGGACCTTGGGTCCTCCTCCCCTCTCAGCAGCCTCCCCTGAACGGGGCAGCAGGATGGCGATCTAGATCCACTCCCACCCTTCCCCACCCAGCTCTGGGGCCCCAAGGCTGCCTTCTAGGACCTGCAGTGAACTGAACTTAGGGTCCTCCGGCTGCTGTTTAGATTTGGACAAAAGGAAGCGGGAAACAGAGGAAGGAGTAGAGCGAGGTGGAGGAATTTATTTCCTGGGCTGTCTTTCCGCTTGGCCGCAGCCAGATTCTCCTACTGAGCCACAGCTCGTCAGGTCACGCCACTGCCTCTTCCTGGCCAGCCGGCTCGGACGTGGTAAGAGCTCCCCACTGCTGCTCGGCTTGGGGGGACCGCCACTTCTCGATGAGTTCCCTTAAAGCTGACCGCTTTTGAAAACCATCCCTTCGCTATCTAACTCTCACCCCCACTTGAATGTGTCATCTGATGCCTAAAAATACAGGGAAGGTAACCTGGTCTTTAACTTTCCCTGATACCCACCTCCTTCCTCCTTCTCTGATGCCCCCGTTTTCGGAACCCTAGGAAGACAGATTCAGGTGGGGAGGCCGATAGCTTACGAAGTTGTCTTTATTGGTTTCTTACTGCCTTGCAGAGTGTCGAGGTTGACCCCTCCCAGAAATAGGGCATTTGAGGAGATAAATACTTAGTTTGCCCCCCACTTATCAGTAGGGGGAGGTTTAATAAAAATAGTAATATAATAACAATAATAATAACTGTGATCAATAATAAAATGTCCCCTATGATCCCCTAATACATAGTTGGTTGAAGCTTTGAGAAAAGGACCCTACCTCCCCATTTCTGGGAAGGGCCAGAGTGTGCCTGGAGACCTCCAGTGGCCCTGTTGGGTACCCATCTCCCACCAAGTAGCCCTTATAAATACCCTCCCCATCCCATCCCTGTCTAGGAATTCTCTTCTCCTCTGGACGGATTGGATGACAATGTCAGTTGGCTCATGGAGCCCCTCCCTGTTCCCAAACCCAACAAGCTCCTCGCCAGAGGGAAAGGACCCACAGTATATATTTCTCCGGTTTCTTCCCCCCTCCACCCCTCTCCTCTTCCTTGCCCCTCCTTTATCCCTCTGTCTCGTCTGGATGGCTTTCTCTGCCTTCCAGGCACTATCGCCTCCTCCTCCGCTTCCTTTCCTCGGACTTGCCTCTCTCACCTCCTTCACCTACATCCTGTCCTCTGCTTCTTTATCTTCCCTCCCTCTGGATCGGAGCCTGTCCTTCCCAACCTAACCCTGAGCAGAAACTGGGATATGCCCCGATTTGGCCTCATTGGGGGCTAGACGGCCTGCAGCCAAGATCCCAGACTGCCCCAAGGGGCCTGGCGCTTCTTCCTCCCTCATCCCAAGTCTCGCTTGCAAGCCTCCTGGGGCTTGGCTTGGCCCTGGGAATGACAGCTTTGGCACAATCGCCCCTGGACACCAGGACAGTGGGGCCCCTGGGGCGGGAGGGTCCCATTCTGTTCCCAGTGGCTAGCACACGTTGCGCTAGGAGCAGAGGGGAAAGATGGGACGAGGGCTGGGAGTCAGGTTCCCCTGGGAACCTAGGCCAGCCGCCAGGTCGCTGCCCAGCCCAGCCCAGCCCAGCCCAGCCCAGGTTCTCCCTGAGTCCAAATTTCCGCATGTCCCGGACCAGCCGGCGTATGGCATTCCTCAGGATCTTTGCTCCCTCATGTCTCTCAGTCCTGGGGTTTGGGTGGGCCCTGCCGGAAGGTGTCAAGGGGAGCTCTCCGATTCAGGGGCTAGGGGGAGGCTCCGGGGCCTTTCTGAGACCTGGAGGGGAAAGAGACGGAAGTCAGAGTGGAGAGAGGACTCTTCCCTCACTAGGCCTCCAGAGGCCTTCCCGGGACCCATCGCCTGCTGCTGGCCCTTGGAGGAGGCCAGATGTGAGGTGGGGGTGGGGGTGCATGAGAAGAACCTGGGAAACTCCTACTTAACGCCAGAGCCCAAATCAACGACCCTTTGTTCATTCACCCCATTCTTCATTCGATCAACAAACATGCTTTACTTTGGGCAGAAGACAAACTTGACCCCCGTCCATCAAAGGGCCCACAGTACAGGGGGACTGTAGAGGAGGAGGACTGGCACCCAGACACAAAGCATAGCACGGAAGAATTGACAAAGAATGGGTGGGGAGAGGAGGGCGCTGGAGGCGACAGCAACTGCAGGGGTGCAGTGATCACCTGACCAGGCAGTCGGGTGGTCTCTGGAGGTGATATTGGTGCAGAGCCTTGAGGTGGCCTGCGTGTTAATCAGGTGGAGGACAGGAAAGGGCATTCAAAGCAGTGGGGACAGCAGGGGCAGGAGCCTGAAGATATGGAAGAACACAGCAAGTGTCTGGCTCTGAGCGGCCTAGTGTGGCTGGAGTAGGGGTGGCGATTGGAGACAAGCCTGGAGGGTGAGTGGGAGCCTTCCCATCTCCGCTTAGGTCTTCCCCAGTCCCCACCCAGAGTGGATTGCTCCCTCCCACGGGCTGGGCCTCTGTTAAGAATCCCAAGAGCTCCACCTCTGTGGCACTGTCCCCATGTGCCAGGCACCATGCTGAGGTATCATCTCCTCATACAGGTCTCACGATAATAACCTCATTTTACATACAAGAGAAGTTCAGGGAGGCTGGGCACCTAGCTGGGGGCCACACTGCCGGGACAGTCAGAGCCAGGATACCCACTTCCAGGCCTCTGCTGGGGCCAGCTGCGGGGTGAGGCAGGTAAGAGTCTGAATCTCTTAGGATCCAGGGAAGGGATGCGCTCAGTTTGTTCTTTGGCCTCAGGTCCCACGAAGGGCCTAATACAGAACAGCTTTGAGTGCGGAAGAGAAAAGTCCCCATTGGCTCACCTGCATCAGGGAGGCTGTGGGACTCAGAGATCCCTGGGGGCAGGACACGGACTCGCTGGACAGAGATGTCCAAGGCTTCCTCTTCACTGTTCCAGGAGCAGGATGAGAGGCAAAAATTCAAGGTCAGATTTGAGGGGTCTAAAGTGGGTGGAAACTTGGGGGAGGAACATGGAAGTACTGTCAGCTGTGGGGCTATCCTTACTGGGGTCCACGTTCCCGTCGCTGCCCATGGAGGCTGGGCGCCGCGGAGCCTCCGAGAAGCTGTGAGGCCGCTGTGGGCCAGAGCCGCGGGCACCTCGGCCTTTCCCTTCAGAAGCCTGTTGGGGGACAGTGCGGAGGGGCTGGAGCAGGCGCAACAACACACCAGGACAAGTAACCACGGCCAGCGCCAGCTCTGGATGCGCTGAGGGCCAGGGTCCCAGGTAAGCAGAGACCTCCGATTAGCTCAAGCGCACTGAAGAGGCCAGTGATCAGCTCAGCCTCACCCAGGAGGCTTGTGATTAGCTCCAGAGGACTCACCGGGGGCTGGTCCCTGGCACTGGGCCTCGCGTCCTTAGGGCCCACGTGCACCAGGTGGTTGAAGTTTGTGGGCGGTGAGATGAGCTTGGAGCGCACAATGGGGTCCTTCAGCATCTCCCTGCAGGCAGAGAGGGTGTAGGAAGGGAGGCGGCGAATGTGATGCATCCCCACATTCTCTCCGGAAGCTGACTCCCTGCCCCACCCCGGGGGTGGGCCTGTGCTGGGCCCCGCCCCCAAGAATGGGAGGCCCGCCCAGTCGTTGCACCGCGCACGCACCTGCGCTGCTGCTGCCGCTGCTCCTCCGACACGCGGAAAAAGAAGTGGCGCTTGCTCTTGGTGCGGAACAGCTGGCGCCGGCTGTTGTCAGTGAGGTCGGGGATGTCGAACTCGTCCTTCTCTGTGGGAGAAGCAGAGAGCTGGGCAGTGCTCACAAGTCCCCAGGGTCCCAGTCGGCCGGTGCTCAGGGTCACACACCCACACGTGTGCACAGGTGAGCGCACACACGCATATACACATGCACACACACTGCCTCACCTGCCAGCGGGTTCCTGAGGTAGGTCAGGCGGATCTTCTCGGTGCCATAGAGGAATAGGGAGCCCTCTGGGTTCAGGGGTCGCACCTGAGGCAGCAGGCACAGAGGTCATGTCATGCTACCCCACCCCGACCCAGTCCAGCCCCAGGGTCTGGACAGGCCCTCACCTTCTTGAGTGGTACCGTCTGGACCCATTCTGCTTTCCTCACATCAAATACATCGATGGAGTTCTCACTGAACACTGTCAGGTAGGGAGCTGTATAACCTGCAGGGTGGAAAACTGCCTGTGCTGTGCAGCCCTGGGCAAGTCCAGCCCTTCTCTGGGCTTGTTCCCTCCTCAGTACCTCGGGGAACACCCCGTGCCCTGCCACAGTGCAGAAACTTCCCCGCCCACCAAAGGCCCTTCTTCTGAACACTCTCCTGGTCGCCCCACCCGACCTCTGCAGCAAATCAGAGCTCAAACTGCAGAGCGCCACTCTGTGCCGTGTCAGGCATAGTTCTAACCACTTTGCATATTTTTTCCTTCTTTAATTCTCAAACAACTGTGGGCAGGTAGTATTATCACCCTACCTTACAGATGAGGGACCAGAAACCCCAGAGCTAAGTAATGGGCAAGGCCACCTAATGGTGAGTGAGAGCTGGGAATTGGCCCCGGGCTGTCTGGGTCCAACTCCTACATGCTGAATGTCTGTGCCACACCCAACCCACAGGTCCCACCCCAGAAGGGCCACTGCTCATGACGGGAGCTCTGATCTTTTCTTTAAGCCCGAACTCCATTACGCCAGCTACCTATGAATGTGCCCGACTCCCTCCTTCATTCACTCATTCATTCATTCATTTCTCCAAACAGTCAGAGCCCCTGGGGTGTGCTGCCCGGAATGGGCGCTGAATGGGATGAAGAAATCAGCCCCAGCCTGTATGCAGGCCTGGTGCACCACACCGGTCATTACGAGAAGGTGCTAAGAAGCAAGGCAGAGGTCGGGGAGCAAAAAGGAGCAAAAGACCAACCATGGGGGAGGCAGGGCAGGGAGCCTGAAAGCATAATGACAATGACGGCAATCAGGCTGGTCATTTATGGAGGGCCTACCAGCTCCGGGCCCTGCGCACACATTGGCTGGACCTGGTTAAGGGTTTGCCAGGTACAAAAAGGAGAGCAGTTCAGGCAAGGGAAGGATGTGAGCGAAGGCAGAGAAGAGGAAGATCCCCTGCCAGCCACCCAGGGGAGCGGGGCGTGGTCAGGCAGGATGGTACACAATGGCTTCCAGTGCCAAGCTCAGGAGTTGGAGCAGGACCCTGTCTTCTTCTGACATGAGATCCACCGCAGGTTCCTGGCTCCACTCAGCCTGCTCTCCATTGGCCTTACCCCAGCCTGTGGGCACTGCGGGCCATAGCAGCTCAGGGATGCGAGACTTGCGGCCAGTGCTGTCCACGTAGACTCCAGCAGTGGTGAAGAGCAGCAGGAACTCACTAAGGCTGAGCTCCACGGCACCCAGTGCCTCTCCCAGGCCCCCACGGGATGGTGGCAGCTCTTCAGGTACCAGACCGGCTCCCAGCGCTAAGGGCACGGCCTCGTTGAGCAGTGGGTAGAGCGCGAAGGCACCAGCTGCACCCACGCATAGCCGATCGCCTAGCAGCTCCAGACTCTGCACAGGTGCTGGTGCCTGCAGCTCACGAATGCGGCGCTGCCAGGGCCCCGGGCCTGGACCCAGCTGGTAGCAGAGCACCTGGCGTTTGACAGCTATACAGAGCACAGGGGTACGCGCCTGCAGGATGCGTCCGGCTGCCAGTGCCTGGCAGCCCCGAGACTCAGCGATCTTGGCGCCTGCCACCTCCGCGTTCTCCAGCTCCGCCAGAGCGAAGAGGCGCACGCTGGGGCCACGCCCACACAGCACGGCCAGAAGGCCCGCGGTGGCGCTCACCGCCAGCCGCTGCACCCGCCGGCACTCGCCCACCTGGAAAATGTCTGTGGGGTTGGTGAGGGAGAGTGTCACCACCGGATGGGTAAGGAGCAGCCCAGTGCCCATCCTCCTCTGTCCCCCAGGGCTGAGCCCCACCCGTGCCAGCCCTGGCCCTGACAGGCAAGTACCATTGCTGTGTAGGTGGATCACAAACAGCCCCTCCTCTGTGCCCAGAGCAAGCCGGTCTTGGTCTGGTAGAGGGAAGGAGAGGGTCAGGGGTCAGAGGGCCCGTCCAGAGGCGGAGACTGGGCAGTGTGCCTGCCCTCGCTGAGCCTCGGTTTCTCCTGAGGACATGAAGATGGCAATCCCACTGTCCCTGTGTCGCTGAACCCCTCTGCCCCAGAGTCCTGGCTGGCTCTAATGGGTAAGGGCTGTGGGGCAGGTGAGAGGATCCCCCCCACCCCAGCTGTGGGATTTTGGATAAGTCATGTCACCTCTCGGAGCCTTGATTTCCCCTAACGTAAAGTGGGGACAATAATGGTACCTTTCTCATAGAGCTGCTGTGAGGCTATGGAGATGAAGCGATGTGAAATGAGTGTTAAGCTCAGGGCAATCCCTGCTTGACAAATGCCCCTGTGTCCCCAACTCCTGACTGACACAGGGCACCTGGAGGACCCACACAGTCTTCCCCATGGCTCTCGCCCTGAGTGACTACACGGAGAGCTCCCAGCTTGCTAGGGCAAGGGCTGGCTCTGGGCCCTGGCTGCCAGGGGGATCCAGCGAGCATTGCTTCCTCGCCTCTCCCCCAGCTGTCTGTCACGGAGGCCCTGGGCTCCTGGCTGAACACAGGAGACGATGCGAGGCTTTGGTGTGCCCAGACTCCCCGTGGTCACCCAGCTGCTGGTAAGAGAGCCAGGAGCAAAACCCTTATTTAACTCTTACTAAGGCCTTTTCTCTGTTCCCTTGCTTGAGAGTCTTTTGGGAAAAGCAGAAATGAGACATGGAGAAGTGGAGCAGCGGAAGCTGGACCCCCACCCTCTAGCCGGGGCTCCTCACACAGCCATGCTCAGGGGACGGTCAGGGATGACACGTGTGCAAGGCAGAGAGCCCACAGCTCATGGCTGCAGAGACTGGGCAGCGACAGCAGCCCTCGTGACTGTGGCTGGGCCTGCAGATCCCTACAGGCCCTGACTCCTCCCCCGAGCCTGCCCTGGGCGGGTGACGCCTCCTCAGCATGAGGCTTACCAATGATGGCGGCACAGAGCGTGTGGGGCAGCAGCGGCAGCCCGTTGTCGTAGGCCTCCTTGAGCGTGTACACAGGCCGGGGCCTTGGCCGCGCATCCAGTAGCAGCTGCTGCAGCTCACCCAGCACCTGCAGCCAGCGCTCCCGCTCACCCTCGCTCTCTGCCAGCAGCAGCACAGTGCACGTGACAGGCGGCACTGTCAGCTGGGAGGCCGTCACCTGTGAGCAGAGACCCAGGCTGAAAGGACTCAGGTTGGAGGACCACGGGCCGATGGCCAGCTGTCCTTTCTCCCTTCTCTTGTTCTAGCAGATGAGGCTTATTAGCCCTGACATGAGCTTGCAAGAGACAAAGCTAGGTGCTGCCTTTTAGCAGGCGATGAGCCAGACGGGGTCATTAGACAAGCATATGGACAGAGCCCTGACCCATGCCACAGTAGGAAAGAATGGGGTATTGTGGGAACACAGGGCAGGGCTCCCAACTCCAGCGAAGCAGGGAAGGATGCCCTCCCACAGGAAGAGGCATCTCTTTTGGAGCCTGGGGAACAAGTGGAATAACCAGGAATGGTCAAGGTGGGAGAAAGGCTGGGGGCCGGCAGGGGGCCAACCGGAGGGAACAGTTGTGAAGGGGTCCACGGGCACAGGGCACTTTTGGAACTGGAGAAAACAAGGTGTGGTCAGAGCAGAGAGAGGCTCGAGAGAGAGGCCAGGGAGGCCTGCAGGGTCAGAATTATGGGGCCTCAAGGCCACAGTCAGGAGCACGTGGAGGGAGCATGATCAGGGAGCCACAGAAGAGTCCTGAACGAAGCAGGACATAGCCAGCTTCACATACGGAAAACTCCGTGTGCTGCAGCAGCGGTCCCCAACCTTTTTGGCACCAGGGACTGTTGCTCTTATGAGATCTAACGCCTGATGATCTGAGGTGGTGGTGCTGGCGCTGGGGAGCAGCTGCAAATACAGATGCAGCTTGGCTCGCTTGCCTGCCGCTCACCTCCTGCTGTGTGGCCTGGTTCCTAACAGGCCACGAACCAGCAGTGGTCCATGGCCTGGGGGTTGGGTAATCCTGCACTGCTGGATGGAGCGTGGGTACACGGACCAGATCGGAAGCTGGAGTAGCTGTCCATTGGAGGGGAGCGGAGAGAGATGAAGGGGGCAGCCACGGAGAGGGAGAAAAGTGGCTGGAAGGGGGTCAGTGTGGAGGCGGATGGTGGTCTGGCTCATCCCACCCTAGGTGCTTACCCTGAAGATGCGTGGTAGGTCCTTGGACTGGGCGTGGATAACATCAGAGGCCAGAACAGGGGTGGCTGAGAACTGGGGATCCCTGGAAGGTTCATGGAACAGATCAGAGGTGGTACAGCCACTGGCTGCACCCCATCCGCCCACTTGTCCCTTGTCCCATGCCACTCATTGCCCAGCACCCACCTCAGATCCAGTGCCTGCAGGAGGGCCCCACTGGCCGGGCTGAGCCGAGGGTCTGGAGCATCAAACAGCAGCAGGCGAGAGTCACTGAGGGCGGCAAATACCCGCTGCCAGCCCCGCCGGACGCCTGAGGGCCGCGGCACCTGGGGAAGGCAGGCATGGGAGGGCCCGCCAGGCCAAAGCCACCCACACCCATCTCTCCCTCTCTGGCCCCAGCTCACCGACAGGAAGCCCTCGTAGGCAGTGCCTGTGCCTGTTTCGGGGTGTACTCCCAAGGCTGTGCAGAGGCGGTCAGGGGGCACAGGGCAGGGTGGGGCCTGTGAGGCACAAGTTGAGTGACAGTAGTAGCTACAGGCTGTGGGCAAAGCAGGAGATGGTGTGAAGCGGCGTGGGGACAAGAACCAGGA